AAAAATATTGGTTGGGGGTTGAAGAAGAGTATGGGATTACAAAGTTTGAAGTGTTTATAGACTTTCTACTTTATTGGTGTATAAGGAGACTTTCAAGAGATCATTGAAATTACAGACCTCAAACTTGAGGGAAGTGTCCTTGAAGCTAAGGCTTGAGGAGATCTTGTATGAATATTACATAAGGAGAAGAAGATAGCTGAAATAGTAGGATGAGACTTAACTATTCCCTTTTTTACAGAGGAAGGAACAAAATTCCCAGTTCCTCAAACCACAGGTATTACAATTTGGTCAAAGGAAGGGATTACTATTGGATCTGTGAAATAATAAAAGAAAACTATAGGAAGTATCAAAAAACCTAAAGAAATGAATTTCTCATTTCCCTTAACAGAGATTTTTCACACTCGAGATGGATGCTCCAAACCACACCACCGTGACAGAATTCATTCTTTTGGGGTTAACAGAGAATTCCACATTGCGTGTCATCCTCTTTATGATATTTCTAGGAATATATGCTGTTACCTTAGTAGGCAATATCAGCATCATCACTTTAATAAGAAGCTGTCCCCAGCTTCATACTCCCATGTATCTGTTCCTTAGCCACCTGGCTTTTGTGGACATTGGGTTTTCCACATCAATCACACCTATAATGCTTACAGGATTCCTTGGATATGGAACAGTACTCTCTGTGGCTGCCTGTGAAACCCAGTTCAGCATCGCAGTCACATTTGGAACAGCTGAGTGCTTTCTCCTGGCTGCCATGGCATATGACCGATATGTGGCTATCTGCTCACCCTTGCTCTACTCCACACATATGTCTCCCAGGATCTGCTTCCTCTTAGTTGGGGTTTCCTATGTAGGTGGCTGTGTGAATTCATGGACATTTACTGGTTGTCTGTTGAGTTTGTCCTTCTGTGGACCAAATCAGATAGATCACTTTTTCTGTGACTTCCCTGCTGTGTTGAAGCTTTCTTGCTCAGATATTTCCATTATTGGAATTATCCCCTCTATCTCTGCTGGATCCATCATTGTGCTGACAGTGTTTGTCATCGCTGTCTCCTACACCTACATCCTCATTACCATCCTGAAGATGCACTCCACTGAGGGCCGCCACAAGGCCTTCTC